CACACACACACACACACACACACACGCACACACACCTATGCTCGCCTCTCTCTCTGTCACACACATGCACACACACCCCTATGCTCGCCTCTCTCTCTCTGTCGCGCACACACACACACACTGTCCATTAGTTCCCTTTGCCATGCTGCAGCTCCACTGATCCACTTTTCACTGCTCCACGCTCGTTGTCCGCTGTCCGCTGTCCGCTGCTCCGTAATCTCTGCTCCATGGATATGATTGTTCCAAGGGCCAGGTGGGACAAACACTACTGCGCTGCCCTCCCTGGACTTAACTTCTCTTTCTCTGAAAGCTTCCATAGGAAGTAAGCTGATATCAGCGTTCTTGCCACATCTTTGCCCGTTCTGCACCGCGCCTTGGAATTAGCTGACATCAGCGTACTTGCCATATCTTTGCCCATTCTGCACCGCGCCTTGACAGCTGCCTTAACAGGTTAAGGACTACGGTCCATCCTGCAGGAGGTGTATACCACCCTTACAGGACTGCACAGCTTGCCAGCTGTGACTAACTCCATCGGAAGGACGCTGAGTCCGACAGCGTTCTTCGGGTCGGAATGTTCGAAAGGTTGTGTAAAAGGCGCCATCTCTCTCTCATCTCATTCCGCGCCTGGAAAGCTGCCATCTGTCTCTCCTTGTGCTCCGCAGCTCCTCTATGAAGACCCCATTCTATATGCCTCCCCTCCTTAGAGGGCCCACCCACTCCTTCCTCAAAACCCTGGACAAGCTCATGTCTATTTTGCTCGAGCTCTCCTGTGGAGCTCGACAGCTGCAAGACCCCCCTTCCCCGTGCTGTGCGCCTCGGGGCATGGTGGCTAAGCTGGGCATGGTGGCTAAGCTCCATGCGGGCGCACATGCCGCGTGGCTATGGAAGAAACCCTAATTGAGCGCTTCGGCGCCGCCCCCCGCTTCGTCCTCTCCAAAATCTGCAATTTTGCTTCTGCAATTTTGAGAATTAGGTGTGCGGCAGACTCAGACACGGTGGCCCTTTTGAATGAGGGCACCCTCACACTGCGGTAGCAAATCCGTATAAATTGCGAAAATGGGTTGGGCCGAATTGGGGTATTTGGGACGTTTCAGGTCACACCGCGTTCACACCATGTTCCCATTTCGCTAAAGACACGGTCGCTACCGTGCCATCAGGGTGCTGCTGTTTGGGGTTTCCAGTCACACAGAAGTAACCCCAAATATAGAACGTACATGTTCTTTTTATATTTTATTTAATTCTGCCTTTTTCCCTTTTTCAATTGATACCCGGTTTAAATCTTCCTTTTCAACTTTGCATTCAGTTACAAAAATTAAATAAAAAAAGAATAAGGATTTTGCGGTAATCTCTGGAGGTTACCGCAAATTCCTCAAACTGGAGGCAGGCCGCTGTTTGGGGTCGGAACCATTGTGTGTGACCAGCCGTGTGCACATTTTTTTGGCCCAGTGTGAGCGTGCCCTGAGACATGGCCGAGATTTTCTGAAAATTGCTCCATCTGTTATCTAAGTGGTCACACAGCTGATAGCAGATGGTGACCTTTTTTTCTTCTGGACTTTGCGTTTTCTCTATTTATGCGTGTCATCCTTGCGCAGGGGCCATGATAATATTCTCTGTATCGTTTCAATTGTAAGGGATGTCCGGAAGGACCCAATTGCGTTTTCTCACCCTCGGAGGTTTTCTTCTTCTTTGTTTTTAATCCAGAAAAGCAACTGCGAATTTGCAAGGACCTGTTGAGGTCCTCTCAAATGGCTGCATCCCCGGGCCCAGCAGGCCCCTGACATATACTACAGGGTTTGCCATTTTGCTGGGGGCGGGGGCATTGTGTGACTGCAATACTGTGGCAGATTTTGCGATTTTGCGAAAAAGACCCCTAAGGGCACCAATTTTTGAAGGAAATGCTAAAAAAAAAAGTAGGGCATTTGCGGTGACCGCAAATTCCCTTGCTCCGCGGCTACCCAGGCGCAAATGGGCACGCGAAAAGTACATTTAGGGCATACTCACACTAGGGGTCTAATTCTCAATCTGATGATGTTTTGCAGTCACACTTTCCCCCCACCCCCAGCAAAATCACAAACAGTGTAGTATTTTTCAGCGGCCTGCCTGGTGGGCCGCGGGGTTCAGTAAATTGAGAGGACCTCTAGAGGTCCTCGCAAATTTGCATTTGATTTTTGTTAAAAAAAAAACAAAAAAAAAACTCCACAGGCCAGAAAATGCAACTTCGTGGCTACAACAGTCCAAAATTGCTATGTTCGGTTGCCAACGGGACAGTCATACAGCGCCTGTATCATTTTTGGCATCATGCACAGCAGAATGCCCGTGTGTAACGGGTTTGTCCGTAGTGGCGGAGTCCCTTCCGCCCTCCTCCGCAGTTTCTCCCCCCGTTCCCCCATGCGAATAGTCTTGCCCTCCGCAAGATTAGTGAGGCCCTCAGCAAGAATAGATGCAGATTCCGCTGCCCTCGGCGCGGTTTTAGGGCTTGAACGAGCACATGTATCCGGGCAGGTGCAAAGAACAGTGCTGCTTTCTACCAGGGCTTGAACAAGCACATGTATGCGGGCAGGTGCAAAGAACCGTGCTGCCAGCTCTTTTTCTGCCTCTCAGCACATGGTAACGTGGATTCGAGTGCTTGGGCGTTCACAGAAGTTCTTGCAATTTGTGGATGGCGCCCTGCAACCAGCGAAGTACCAATTTGAAATGGCCATTTCTGCAGACGGCCACGGCCTTGTCCAATCCGAAAAGGTACAGCAGTGTGACCCGAACCATGCCCAAAACCTCAAATCCGCATATTCTGCAGATTTGGGCGACCGAAATCTGCGAAGTTTGAGGGCATACTCGCACGAGGACAAAAAGTCTAAAAAATCTGAGGAATTTGGGCAGGCCTATCTGGGACATTTGGTCCTTGTGTGAACCTGGGTAGGCCTATTTGGGACATTTGGTCCTTGTGTGGTCACACGGGTGGACTTCGTCCAGAAAGGACGAACTCGCAGCCCTGACACTTCGCCCTCTGGGCAAGTGTGCATAGTCACACGGGTGAGGACCAAAAAATTTGAGGCAGGTCTTTTTTTTTTTTTTTTCACGCCAAAATAACGCTAGGGCCTTCTCTGCAGCATACAGGTTTCGAAGTGAAGGGAGGCCCCGCCAGCGTACTCCAGCTTCAGCACACTCCTCCAGAGAATTGAAGTGCCGCCTCAGCATCCTGCCGCCTGCGAACTTCCCGCTATCTCTGTGTAGGTTTGGACATCCATTGGCACTGTTGCACCGCTATTGCCGCCTCTAACTTCACGCGGCTTTGGACGTCGCCCAGCTTCGGACGTCCACTGGGGCTGCTACTAGCAGTGGTTATACAGCCATCGGCGGTGTATTTAGTGCTGTCTTTGTCTACGTTCGGAAGTCTGTTATCGCTGGTTACAACTCTACAGCGGCAAGGCCGGTGCCAGCACCGTCGGACGAACTTGTAGACCAAGTGCATGATGACAGCAGAAATGGACGTCCAATGCATGTCATCCCCCCACTTCCATCGTGTCATCCTGCTGTGGGTCCGAACTGTGCTTCGCTAGCGAATTTCTGTGTCGCGCATTATTTGCCTCCCCTCAAGACCACACAATGAGGCAGTCAGGCTGCATGGAAGTCAGCAGCTCCGCACGGACGGAAGGTGGATGGGCTTGCACATTGTACATGCAGTAGAGGACATGATGGCACTACGGTCGGAGGCTGAGTGCCACGCTCAGTATGGGTCAAGGAACGGACAGGGGGCACATGGAGAGACATGCGCAATCCACGCTTCATCAATGACAGCAAGCGATTCAAATCCTACTTCAGTATGCCTGCTCCACTGTTCAAACGACTGCAAGATCGACTCGGTCCTCGTCTGGAGAGGCAGCATACAACAATTCGACAGCCTATCGAGCCAGCTCGTGTCTCAGCTGCTGCATTGAACAGGTTTGCAAGTGGAGAGTCGTACGACAGGGTTGGGGACAGGTTTGGCATAGCTCATGCAATGGCCATAGAGTGCACAGACCGGGTGACAAAGGCAATTCTGGACAACATGCTGGGGCTGATCTCATTCCCTGATGCTGAGGCCATGCCAGGCACCATTGCCAAGTTTGCAAGGGGAGGTTTCGCGAACTGCGCCGATGGCATCGACTGTACGCATTTCTTCATAGAGAAACCTGGCAATGGATTGGACAAGGACTACTACGATCGCACCCGTCAGTACAGCATAGTGGCTCAGTGCGTGTCAGACATGCGCATTCTTGACCTGGATGCAGGATGGCCTGGTAGCTTGCACGATTCAAGAGTTTCGTGTAGATCCTCCCTTTACGAGTGTGTCGGACCCGCCGGGATGGCGGTCCGACAGGATGGAGAAGAAGGGGTTGAGGAAGGAGGAAGTGGAGATGGAGCTGGAAGGGACAGCGCAGCTCCGACGCAGACTCAACGCCGCACGTACTCCAACAAATGCAAAATGAAGAATGATCTAAAAAACAGACAACAGCTGGGGTATACCCCCAGCTGACTGATTGGATTGGACTGGACTGGCCTGGTACCGACAGTGGTACCGGGCAGGCTGGACTGGACTGGAATAGTACACGGCCTGTGGGGTGAGGCCACGGCCTCATTGTCGGCCTGGTCCCACAGGCCGAGCTGGCAAATAGCCGAATAGGCCCTAGCTGTAGGCCAGGGCAGATGGAGGCCCGTTGCACGATCCTCAAACTTGTAATGGATCGCAAGAGCCATAAACGCGCTATCCGCAAAAGCAGCAGAACTCTGCAATAAAGAAAGCTGAGAAATCTAGGATGCGGAGCACGCTCCATGCGGAGTCCATGCGATGCAGCCTAGGCTACATAATGTCAACTGAAAAGCGAATGTATGGTAGAAACATCCTAACTATCAGCATAAAATGAAATGTAGCATGATAGTATGATACAATCCTAAAGTCCTAGAGGCAATAACCTCAGTGCTAAAAGGGAAAAAAACAATATGTCACAAGTCATGTCATGTCGCTGAACCACTAAGAGTGAGATGGTCTCAGAAGGGGTGAATGCAGCCTAAGAATCGAAACTCCTAAGGGCAGTCACACACAAAGGTGGGATAGGTCATCAAGCTCAAGGTGAGAGAGTGGTAGTGAAACAAAACCAATGACCCTAACAGATAGACCATCAAGGCGGGTAATGCTCGACAAAAGGGTGGCACCATGCAGGGTCGATTATGAAAAGGGAAGCCTGGAAAAGGGTGGAGATATGCCTAACTGAAGGCATGCAAGAGCCGACACTAGGGTGATGAGGGCAATGGGTGAGGGAAACATGCACATAACTCACCGATCGGGGGAAGGAGCTAGATCTGGGAGCAGGGAAGCCAAGATAACGCTACGGTCCCAATGCCTATGTGATACCAAGGGAGAGCCGAACTCAAAGAGACCCAACTAAGTGAGAACCATCATGCGACACATGCAAGGGAATGTACAGGGTAGGGTGGTGCCGTGAAGTAGTCACGTCCAAAGTATCTGAAGCCGATAAGGTAGCTGAAGTCGTCGAAGTGGTCGGTGACGTCGATGAAGTAGGAGTCGAGTTGATGTCGAAGCAGAGCCGCAAACGCTGACATCCTGAAGAAGCGAATGGAGTACCTGGTGGTGTGAGTCAGTAGGGATATAGTAGGTGATCAGAGTGTCAAACGTCGAGACGCTGCGGGCGGCGACGAGTGTGCTGTGGACGCGCGGAGGCGTCCGTCTGCTACTGAAGAATGGCCTCAGAGGGAGCGGGCTCGTCCTCAGCAATCTCCTCAGTCGGAGGAGGAGGAGGAAAAGGGTCAGTCGGCTGAGTAGGAGCAGATGTCTCAGCATGACGAGCATGATCATATGCACACACCAACATCTAGGCGTGCTGCAAGTACTCGAGAGGCTCCCAAGTAGCCTCCTCATCAGGATAGCCCTTCCAACGCATAAGGTACTCGATGCGTGGAGGGGTATCATCGGTAACTCGGCAAGATACGATGTCGGAAACGACGAACTCCTCGTGACCGTCCACCATGATAGGTGGAGGGCGCTCATAAGGACGTCCGTCGAAACACTCAGACGGTTTGCGATAAGGACGCAACAAGGAGACGTGGTAAACATCGTATACGCGAGCCTGTCGAAGGTAATCGGGTAGCTTCACACGGAAGCTGACCGGACTAGCGGCAGTAACAAAACCGACGGCCTGAAGGATGCGGCATGGACCGAAAAAGCGACGCCTGAACTTGCAAACGTATCCACTTCGAACTGCAAGTGGTGTGCATCGATGAGCACATCGTCACCGACTTTAATTGAATGATCCATTCGTGACGGGTTTGCTCATGCAGTCATGCGAGTTTGGGAGTCGGCTAGACTCTCGTGTGCGCGCTTCATAATCGCCGCCATGTGGGCGATCCATTCGTCAAGGGCAGAACAACGATTGTCTGGGCACAACCGCGACGGTTGTAGGAAATTCGCGGGTACGCGAGGGTGGTAGCCGAGGTCGCAATAGAATGACGACATCCCCGTGGTTGGCGAAACAACATGGTTGTACGCAATAGAAATGTAAGTCTCACTGCTGGTCACCCCTAATAAACTTTTGGAGGATATTACCGAGAGTTTTATTGGTGACCTCAGTCTGGCCATCCGTCTGAGGGTGGTAAGACGATGAGAAGCGAAAATGAGATCCGTACACCTCGTATAGGCGTCGCCAGAATGTGTTGGTAAAGCGCGGGTCACGTTCAGAGATGATGCTGTGAGGTAAGCCATGATCTCTCACGACTCGGTCGAAGACGATGTCGGCGACCTCTCGAGCGCTAATGCAATAGCGGAACGGGACAAAGCGTGCGGACTTCGTGAAGCGATCGATGACGATCAAGATAGCATCATGACCGCGCTCAGTGGGGGGTAGAAGAGGACCAATGAAATCCATTGAGATGGACTGCCAACAACCCTCGGGTATGGGTAAGGGCTGAAGTAACCCATATGGAAGGTGGTTCCCACTGTTTACCTCCTGGCAGGTAGGACACTCCTGGATGTAGGCTTTGACGAAGTCCTTGGACTTCGGCCAGACGTATGGGCGGCAAACACGAGCCAACATCTTGTGGAAGCCCATATGACCGGCAACTGCCTGGTCATGGAACTCTACCACAGCCTGGACACGGAGCTGTCCAGTGGAGGGAATGTAGATACGTGGTTCTAGCTGACCAGATCTACCATGCCAGTACACGAGACTGTTATCACCGAGTGAGTACGAGGGAACGTTCTTGCCACTCCATAATGTCGCATTGATGACGCGATAATCTGGACAGTGGCGGTACTGAGTACGATATGCGTCGATGATCGACTGATCAACAGTGGTCATGGAGATGGTAGCAAGATGGATGGGTTCCTGATTATGATCAGGACGGCGGGACAAGGCATCGGCAACACGGTTCGTTTCACCCTTGATGGGCTGAATGGTGAAACTGAACTCGGATAAGTCATGCCACCAACGTGCCTGTCGAGGGGAAAGTTTGGGCTTCACGAGGAAAGTCTGGACAACTGAGTTGTCCGTGCGCACCGTTGTGAGGAAACCCGGGGAGGGGTTGCCTACAGTTCGCTGAGGTCAGGGGCTAGAACGCTTGTCACTCGCTGCGCCTGCTTCCGAGGTCCTCGACGACCAGCAAGGAGATAAAGTTTATGCAGCCCATCGCTTTCCCCCCCGTAAAAATAAAGTCAAACAGTCTTGTCACAATTCATTAATTTTGAGAGGCTTACCACCAAAATTTTAAAGTTTATATCCAGAGCAGAAATCCAAAATCTAGAGGAAGTAGAAAAAAAATATAAACTCTCCAAACATTAACTCAATCTGCAAGAATCACACAATATCATTTACTTCTTGCATATTTAAGCACGGGGAACGCGTTCGAGCCACAAATGTCTTCAGAGATCTCAATAGGTTTTTCCCCAAACCGCTAGTGCACAATTATTTCATTCGGAGACAGACCCTTGTTGATGGGTCCTTCAGTTTAACGAATCGCAAGGCCTCACATTCAAAACATTCCCATTACAACAACAATTTGGCTGGTTGGAAGATTTCCCCAGGCACAAATCCCGATGGACTAAGATACATGACAGCTTCATCCTGAAGAGAATACCCGTCTCAACGAATATTATTGGAAATAGGACAACAATGAAGAGGCTAATGCAACAAAAGAAGACTTCTACCCCCTTCCGGGAAGCAAGGACCTCAGTCAGCTAAGGCTACTTTCAATCTGGAGTTTGGACTGGTTTGAAAGAGTCACCAGCCGAGTACTAAAGATTCGAATAAAACGAATGAATAATTGAAGTCTTACTGGGAAAAGAGAGAAAAGAATCAATTTTATGTCTGTGACTGTTCCAAAGAGATCCTGACAGCCTTTCACCAGTCTGATTCGTACGAGAGGACCGTCCAATTAAGTGATTCAAATGCCCCGATCTGGCGTTTCAAGACCTGTGCCCTCCCCAATCAAAATGGTTTCCCCGTTCCACTTGTAGGCCGGGGGGGGGGGTCATCAATTGTATCCGCCGAACACCTTAACTCTCTGTTATAAGGCATCGTTCGCCTTAGAGCGGCCGCATTAGATCTGCTTCAGGAGTGGTGGACATCTTCGGCATCGTCTAGTTCACTTTCCCGCCCCCGTTCATTCATACTTGCCCGAGCTTCAGCGCACACGGTCGTCCTTAGTTCCTGCTGCCCAAACGAGATCAGCCGCTGAACTCAATCCCTGTCAGGCGGCATGGTTGAGTTCGCTCCAGCGGTACTGCCGTTTCCTGCGCCAGCGATAATGACTGACAACTCGGGCGATGATAATAGTCGTTCTCACCACCGACGAGGACTGGTTGTTCGTCAAGGAGGACGGCTGGCCAGATAATCAGTCGAGTAGTTCACTCATTGGTGATCTGGTAATCAACAAAAAAAGTTGTTCACTCATTTATGGAAATATCTAGTCTGATAATCATAGGTGAAGCTGTTCACAAATTCGTGAGAGGGGTCAATTTGATAATCAGAGGTAAGGTTGTTCACTCATTTAAGGAAATTAGCTGATCTGATAATCTGCGATAATGCTGCTTCCCACCCTTGACTGCAAATTGGACGAGATTCTAAGTAGAATGAAGTCATCAGTTCTTTGGAGCGTACAACTAGCGTTCAGTTGTTGCATACCAGGGCGGTATCCCTTTTTTGATGGGGTCGCTCATGAGTTGGAGATGCCCTTGATCCAGTGAGGGCGCCAGCATTCGTCTGAACGCTTATAGACCGAAGAGGAAAGGCAGGAAGATTGGAAGAGAGATAAATACCTTTTACCCCAGATGCAGTACACTCACTGCTCTTTCGCCATTACTGCTGATTTCGTACCACAACGAGCTCGCATGATCTCAACTTGAAGAGACTCAAGCCCGATCACTATTCGGGAGATGCACCTCCCCAGAGACTAGTCGCTTTTCCTCACGATCAATCTTCCACTCCCCCCTTTCACTTCTTCAGTCAGTGCCTGATTCACGAATTCGCTGGAGCGCAAGCAGGCCTGGACTTCTCGTACGCGGGGAGCTCACAGACACAAATATCCGCCATCTCCAGGTCCCGCCTGTCGCTGTAGCTCTCGACTCTTCCAGCAGGAGGGCACATCTATCTCAACAACTTTCCACAAACAGGAGTAAGTGAAGCGTTCATCTAACACAGCGGCTCTTCAACAATTAAGAGTGTACCCATGAGGGTCAACAATTTCGGTGCTATTACCAAAGGAGAGTTGTGCACCCAGGTCTCACATCCCCCTTCGCCAGT